ATATTCACTGGTATTCAGTGATATTCACTGGTATTCAGTGACATTGAATATTTGAATATATTCACAGTTCACCAAATTTCCAAGTAGGTTCCCCCTCGGTGCAACACGGAATACGGATGCGTTTGGAAGGGCATGTGCCGATCGCTGCGCTTCAGGTAAGGGGATGTCGCCTTCCAAGTCGACGAGTGCAGCTGTGCGCTGCGGAGGCAGCCAACGCGACGAGACGCTAGGAGGCTCCCCAAGCGCCGTGGTTGCCTTGCAGGCCAATATTTTGGCATTTTTCTTTGAACGACAACTTTCGACATTCTCATGTAAACTGCTATTGTTTTAGCGCCTTTGCTTTCCAAAACTTGTCAATCTATGAAAGAAATTCGGTATTCAGAACGGAATGCCGAGACAACCATTGCGCGTACAAATGATCGAAATCTGCTTTTGGTACCGTGATGACTGTCGGCCGATATTAAGCATAAATTTATGCTACTTGGGGTCGCTTGGGGTAGTAAAAATTGTTGTGTGTGATATTATACCATCCGCAAGCAGTTTACTACTACGACCAGTGGTACGGTCCGTAACAGACACGCACACGCACACAAACGCGCGCGCGCCAGTTCAATGCTAAACAGCCCGCGCGCATAGAGGTTGCAGCCGGTGCATCGTGTCGCCCACCGCGCAAAGGCCTGCCAAACGAGACGCGAATGTCAAACACTGCACGTCTGGCACTGGGGGACCTTCACGTACGCATGTGCATACAAGGGCTCACACCGCGACCCGATGGTGGCATGTGCGGAAGCACCGGTGCTCAACGTACAGTCGGTACGACCCGCTATCAAGAGATAACAAATAATGTGCCAGTAAAGAAACTCAAATAAATAAGCTTTGTAACTGGATTTTTGTGTCTTTTATTTGTACGACTTTAAGCAATCACATTGTTTGCTCAAATTTCTGCGTTTATTAGAACATTTTTGTGAGTTGAATAAGAAATCATGCCTTTTAGCAAACAAATTTGTCCACAACGAAATGTGGTTAAACTTAGCGGAAAAGTTTGCACAAAAACATACCAGTACACTTAGCATACCATATAAAATAACTTTTTAGTTGTTTCTAACCTAGTAAAACCCTTGCATTTTTATACAAGTTTCTGTTGTTTTTTGCCTTTCTAGTCCTACGTCTAGCACAGACGTCTAGAAGAATGCACTCTACCGGACCTGGGCCAGTGTTTATGCTGCAGGTTCATGAACTGCATCGCACTGCGGGTAGCGCACCGGGTTACACGGCGGGCAGATGAGATAAGCGGGTACCTGGGGCGCTGCCGATGAACACTGGCCGTGGCTGACCCAGGGGTCACAGCTAGAAGCATTTCCGTTTGGCTTTATTTTGTGTTTTTAACCCTATCACCTTGCCCTCTGCCAACAAAAGGAAGTTCCAAACACTGAAAAAGATCTATCGCGAATAAACGTATCTCTATATCGTCATAATAAAATCGCAGATCACCCGGTTGACGACAATGGTTCAGGTCCCACAATCGAACATAAAAAGTACAAAATTGAAAATTTGTCTAAAGAAAGAACGCAGTAACATCTTTAAACTTTAGTATCGGAGCGAAACCATCAAGAAAAACCATGAGGAGCACACCCCACCCCCAATCCAGACACACACGAAAAGTCTGGTGGTTTCGGAATGGCCCCCACGAGGCTTGCCACCAACCGTGAGCAAGCACCCCCACCTTTCTCAGCTCGCGAATTTTGAGAAAATTAAGCTGTAGCTCCCTCGGCCGGCTGGTGCGCGCTGGCGTGGCCGCAACATGCAGCCGAGCCAAACAAAGTTGTACCGCTGTACTTGCTGAACACGCGCGGCGGACACGGCTGACACGGGCCGACACGGCCGGCGCAGCACCGGGCCGCCTTCCGAGGAAGCGCTCGTGTTGCTGTACCCCCTCGACAACCCCGGGGCGCACCTCGCGCGCGGCTCTGTATCTAAAGTAGGTACTTTACAACGGGCGAAACGTAACTGAAACGGGGTGCGTACAAGCGTAATTTTATTTGCCCGAAAAAAAAATGACCATTTAAACATTATTCCCACAAACAACACGGAATTACGTTATCCTTTCATCTGGTAATTTTGGTTGCACATCACCTATTCCCACCACAGGTGTTTGTAGTTCGTGTGAGAGGTGTGTGGGTGTATGTGTGTGTAAGAGGGAAGAGAGCGCGTGTGCAAGTTTCGTCCATTCTGCCGTGTTATTTACGATCGGCGTTAATTATTTTTTGTGTTTCGATGAGCCCCATTACTATCGTGGGACGTGCGTGAGCGCGGCTCGTTTGTCTCAATATAGGGAGGGTGCGTTTTTCTCAACGCGTCTTTGCCTCCCCTTTTTCGCGCTAAAAGAGATGTTGTCTCTGAAGAGAATGCAAAACTAGAGCTCAACCAGCAGCTGGTTTAACCCCCCTCCCCCCCCCCCTCCCCTCCCACCTGCCTTTCTTTCCCTTTCGGTTAGACCAGAACTCATTGTCGAAAAAATATATTGATCACGGATCAAAGTTGTTTGTAAAGTCAGCCTAGCCAACTTGTATCTGTCCGTTGCAGGAAATCTGTAACACTTCCGACAGTGTACTATCGCACTGCTATGTACGCACACCGGCTCACCTCGGACCGAGACGTGTAACGCTGTGTTCCGAAACAGCGACGTCTCTATCCAGTGCGTTGGTGTGCGTGCGAGTGTGTGTGCGTCCGTGTGCGCGTGCGTGCGACTGTGTGCGCGGAGGTCAAGACATTATTCACAGCACTCGGGTGCCCCATGCATCATTGCACGCTCTCCAGACGGACACTACTAACACACCTCTCAACCGCTCCGCTTAATATCCTGATTTATTTCTCATTTATCGTTTCGGTCGCAGTACTTAGAAAGTAAATAAAAAAAGATATCCAACGAGGGAAATATGCTTCACTGTTTGGGACCTTTCGAAGCCAGGCAAAGTCTTCAACAGGAGCGTTTTCTTGGCAGAGTTGTTGCGACGCATGTGTGGTCCTTGGCGGGGCGGAGGAAAGGACCAGCAGACGGCATTTGAGGCGTATTCATACAGTGTTTAATGTTCCGTATGATCCTAGAAGACGTTCCGCCAGCCTCGCCCCGTTTTTCGGTGGAATCCCTAACGAACGCGAGGGATGTAGGAGGCGAGGGTGAAACCGCCTTTCTAATGCTTTCTTTTTCTTTCTGATTTCAGGGCGTGATTCGCTGTTCAAGGTGGTGGTTATCAGCCCAGGTCCCTTCGTTCTGCAAAAGCAAAAACAAAATGGATGAATGGTTTTCGACGCTTTTTTTTTCAGATACCAAATAAAGAACGAAGATCCCGCATCCTCCCACGACACACGTTAAATTTAAAAGGGCACCGTGACCTTTAGTTTAATAGATAAGACTCGTGAAACTATTTTAGTTCAATGATGTCGTGTTTATATAGTCACATAGAACCTAACAAGTGAACAGCCCCTCCCCTCTATTTCTTACTCCTCTTTTCGACTGACTACCCCTTTCCCTCTCCTCTCTCTCTTTCTCTCTTTCTCGCTCCCGCTCTCTTGCACCGTATGGTATTTAACCCGTGAGTAATGCCCCGGATGAAAAGTAAGCGGATGCCCAATCATAATTCATCACAACAATTTTAATGTTTCGCCCATAAATTAGTCGCACAATAGAAGGCGTGTGGAGACTCCTTGCTCTGCAAATATTTGCCTAGCGGCTCAAAAATGATCCAGTATTGAAAAATATCGCAACCGTCGAGATGAATAGGATCTCGTTTTTCGGTATTTAGAATGCTTCGAGTAAACTATTCGAGGTATTGCTCTTAAAATTCGCCCCGATGACGCCACCGCGGCGGCAGCGACGGCAGCGTCCGCATATCTGCGGTAAATCAAGCGCGCTATCAAGACAGATGACGCTTTTTGATAATTCTAATTTATGAGGCCCGCGGCCATACTTCTTTTGGACCGAGGATCGACTCCCGATATCTGCTTTTCTTTTCGCTCCGGGGACGACGACGCGCGTCTTATACCCTGTGAGCCAATAGTCTCCCCCCCCCCTTTCCTCTCTCTCTCTCTCTCTCTCTCTCTCTCCAACGTCGCCCTCCTTCATCTTCCTCTCCACGAAATCCGCCAATTGGAGGCTTCATACATCAGCGATGATTAACGGCCTCAAGTTTTCGTGTTCTTATAAAGCCTTCCTCGCCTTTCCTGCGGTCAGCAGCATGCGCTCGCTCGCCTTCTCCCTCCCTCCGTCTCTCTCTCTCTCGCCCAGGGCGTTAGTGTGAGTGAGAGGGACAGAGAGAGAGGATGAGCCGCGGTCCGAATCATTAATCCCGGAGGGGCCGACCAAAACACACAAATAGAAACGATTAAGGCCTCTTTGCAAACAGCTGTTGCCTGAAATACGAGCGGCCAGAGCAGCGCCTGGAAAAGTCTACCAGGCGCACTCCTGTTTTATGGCGAAAAATACGAGGAAGTCGCTGGCGCGTTTCCTTCTCGAGCAAAATCCCTGACTTCAGTAATTTTCAATTACTATCGTTATTGCGATAGTACTATTATTTCGTCGGCTGTGGCTGGTAGCGCAAGGAAGAGTGCGCAAGATGGGGCGAAGTGAAGAGGGACAGACACTGAGAAAGAGGGGGGAGGGAGAGAGAAAGAGGTGGGGGTGCATGGGGAGTGAGAGGAGCACGGAGGAGGGCTGAAAAGGGTGGCGAAGGGAGGAAGGGGCGCTCCTCTATGTATAATGAACTGGCCTGATGGAATTTGTAATATGAAAAGTGTGCGGCGATAAATTGCATCCGTCCCGGCCCGTGAGGGCGCCCGCCCCGCAGTGCCCGGCCGCGTATCGCGCCCTGCCAGCAGTGCCGGAGCAAAGCACTAAATTTTTAGAGCGAATTTTAATTACTATTCTTTCAAATTACATTTTGCTGACATTTACTAAGAGAGTCGAAATCTGCACTAATGCCTAACACTTTCGAAAAATGTCAAACTTCTATGAGTGGAAGAGGCTCCAAGGCACGTCGCATCTGAACCACTATAAAATATAGACCTGAGCACTTCTTCGTGTCAGACAGTGGAGATCCAACCGTATCCAGTGCGATGTACAAACTAGCTTAACTGTTCGAATTCCTAGTTGAACTTGCTCCACTCTTGGAAGTCTGCAACAGCGGTGTTTCGACCGCAACTAACATTGAGGTTGCCCAGTTTCGAGTGTTTTGTACAACTGCTTCATTATAGTCAGTCGCTAGTCATCAAAACCAAATTATGTACAATTTTAAGAGGTCGATGCACTTCGCACTTGCTCCAACGCTCTATATGACAATGCTCAACCAACTTTTATTGTATTCCTCTTTATTTCTATTGTTGTTGTTTTTTTCTGCAAATGCCGTACGAGCCAAGTTTTCCGCAATGCCCGCTTTTCAGTTCTGGTAGCAAAGGGTCCGCCCACTTGGCTAGTCCTTGGTTCATGTTATGCAGGGCACCCCCC